AGCATCAGTGCCGTGCATCCACTGCTGTCTTGGCGATCCTCGGTCAACGCAGGGCCGGCAGGGGTTTGTTCTTGCTCGGTGGCACCAACGGCCAAGAGCTTAAGGCCTTTGCTACAGAAACAAAGGAATGTCCGAATCAGAAACATGAATAACTAAGAGATCTAAGAGTCTAAGAGCTATGTCTAGTCCACACAAGCTCAAACTATCTCAAACGAAGCAAAAACCAAGAACTCTGGCTGCCTTGTATCCAGGGGCGACATGATCGTTTCAGAGCCTGAATGTTTTGACAAACCACTCATCACACCCAGAAAAACTCCAATCCCCTGCAAGTGAGAGAAGCGCTGAACAAGGGATCACGGAAAGCTACAATAGAGGCATACTGGAGCCATCTCTACCACAAGTGCTTATTGGAGACCTCCTTCCACGGTCGTCCACTGCTCCAGTCCAGCGTCAACTTCACCAGAAGCCAGCAAGCAGCGAACCACCTGCAGCAGAACCCCAGGACATCATCAGGCCGAGCGAAACCAGACCACACTGGCTTTGACCAGTTGAGCAATATAAAACGCATGGGTTTGTTTGTGAGAAAAGGAGACGAGCAAACCCCACACCCAGCAACACTTGTGAAGGTGGATCAAGAACCCTGTGAAAAGTGTGATGACTGTTTCGGCACTGTTGAGTGCGGGAATCTTGGGAATACAACAACAACCCAGCTGATGAAATACCCAACTTTAGCATCAACAAGCTGAAAAACGAGTAGTGTTGCTTTCAGCATTCTGACCAACTCACACTGTTTAGGGTCTCCATAGTCATTCTCTTGGATTCACAAGGACCCAGGTCCCTGCCCAGGCGTTCTAGAGTGGGTTTTGACAATATTGCCTGCTACATGCGGGACACCACAATGATGACAATTGGTGGGAAAACAGCATCAAACTGTGGTTTGGGGCAAATGGGCAAGGGTGATTGTTTCTTGAAGTGTTTGTGTGAGTTTCCTGCATGCCCAAAACATGCTGGAAGATGCTCCAGGTACCCATTTTCAGTCGGGACACCGCCATCGGCGCCAGCGCCCCAACGTCGCTGCAAAAAACAAATGTTAAAACCATAAATAAGTTTAAAAAAATACATTTGTTATATATATATATATATTATATATTTCCTAACTAGGGCTAGGGCTGTCGAGGGGTTTCCCTCGCCCTCACCCACCCCCCCGTGGGAGCGCTAAACCCCGTGGCCTCGGAGGCTCCCAAGTTCGCGGCTTCCATCAGCGCAGTGCGGCCGGTGCGGTTCACCGCATGCGGCTCCTCTTCAGCGGCGGCGAGAGGTTGGAGTTCTCGTAGGCCACAGGGATGGTTCGAACTCCATACAAGCAAGGAACATAAGTTGAACATAAGGGAACCTGCCCCATCTGAAGTGGTGCCTGATCCCTTGCTTCATTGATTCAAGATGTATAAGAAGTACTGTGGGTGGATGAGCTTTTCTGCACCAGTGTGCCTCAAAACCCTTGCGAATGGGTGTTTCGATGGTTTTGTTGTCAACTGTCCCATCTACCAGGGAATCAACAAGTGCTGCTTTCACACGATCCAAGTTGCACTCGTTGCGGCATGTTCTGCAAATGCAGTGTTGGGGGGATATCTTGGGTGTTGTAAGGAGTCTCTCTTTCTCTCTACACTAAACTAAGTGCATTCCCACGGGAAGTGCTCCGTTGGCAACTGGGCCCGAAAAGCCTCAAAAGCCAGACAGCGCGAACTCGTCCTTGCCACTTCCCACTCTGTACCACTGCTCAGGCGGTACCACTGCACGCCGCGTGTAGCCATCCGCTCTTCCAGCCAAACTTCTGTGGTCAATCCGCTGGTCTCATGCTTTCTGCTTGGACTCGGACCTGTGAGAGTTTGCCAGATGCTTCTTTTCAACGCTCGCCAGGAAAAAACTTGATACAGAAACCACAGGGTCTGAAGGTGGGAGCTTGCTGCAAGGTTTCAGTCGGTGAAGTTGAAGAAGTCCGGGCAATTTCCTGAAGACTCCCTGGGACGGAGTGGAACGCTGCACTCGGTGGTCCACCGGATGAGAGGCAGACTCTCTAAGGACCGAGAGGACCGACAACCGCACGAGCATAGCCTGGCTGAGCCTTCGCCTGTCGGGACGCCCAAGAAGGGACCTCTCGGTGTCGGTGTCGAGGTCGCGAATGTCTGCCACCTGTGAGATCCGAGTAGGAGCCCTGAAACCGTGAGCCTGTCGTTGTCCGCATGGAGGTCGTGGCTACACGCCGGACTGGACCGACTGGCCCTCCCTAGCGACGGGACACCGTCAAGAACCTCAGATAAAAGAGATGATAAGAGAGCCAAGATAAGGTTTCAGCTTCGGAGACAGAGACGTTGAGACATCGAGTGTTGTGCAAAAGTGCAGTGAAGACATGATCAACCATATTATATGTGCATATATATATATATATGCTACAGTACGAACGAGCATGTGTCAATGTGCTTTTTGTGAAACGATGAAGTGAGATGAGCAAAAAAAAGGCGGTCACAGATACAAAAAATGACTGCCACGATGATCGGGCCAAAAACGGACAGGTGGTGCCCCACCTCCGAGACCCCTGCGCGGCGAAACCCGGTCTCGGCGAAACGGCCCCAACTCCGTCCGTGTCGGGATGGGACAGGAGGAGCTGCACCAGCTCCAAGGATCCTCGCTTGGCCGCCAAGAGCAAAGGCGTCTCACCGTCTTGACCTCGAAGATCCACCTTTACCCTGCGAGGTTCTTCGAGGACGGCATGGCACGGACGGTTGTTCGGACTCTTTTAGTGGGGGACAGATCTCCCTGCATGTTCCTAGTAAACATATCCCCGTTGGTATTTCAAGGAGAACCTGTGCAAGGGATTTTCTAGGTTGAAAAAAAGGGAATCCAAGGTGGACCACAAACAAAACTAGAAAATGCAAGGGGCTACAAACCTGCTCTAGAAAATGAAGGGAGTAGAAATATAACATCCCCCAAGATAGGGCTCTAGAAAATGCCTGACACAGGTTCACCCGCAAAATGCTGAGCAATGCAAAAAGGTCACAGAATGTCATTTTCTAGAGACTCACAAACATATTCACATATTCAGACTACCACATCACAAAGCTCGCAAACAAGCCGTGTCTCATTCTCTAGAAATGTCCCATTGATTCATGATTCAATGATAATGCCAAAAGAATCTTCTAGAAAATGCCCAACGGCATCAATGTTCCACTTGAAAATGGTATCTTCTAAAGAATGGCCAGGGACCCTACAATATTAGGAAACTTAGTTCTCTAGAAAATGCACACATGTTCTTTTGCACAAAGCTCGGAAATCCAGAAAATGAAAAAGAAAGAACAATGTTGAATGATCAACCAATGCCAATGCCATCATCTGAGTGCCTCTCAGCTATTGCTCTGTCTCGTTGTGTCGTTGTGTCGCACTTGGGGGGCGGCCTCCACTTCGAACAAACATCTCAAACAAGGGCGGCCTCCACGACATCTGCATGGTCCAACCTCTCCCTCCACGACCAACCTCTCCCTCCATCCAACCTCTCAGACCGGAGGAGTTCCACGACCACCTGCGTGTGATCGAAGGATGCCGCCACCAGCAAGGCCGTCCGGCCCGCGTGATTCGTCAAGTTGGGATCCAAGCGCTCACACCTGCCACGACCGCGAGACCGACCGCTATAGCCGGTCGCTCTGTGATGCGCGCACCGATGGACCAATGACCAATCTGGCGCGATAGATAGAGTGAGTGAGTTCGGCCGCGTGAAACGCGCACGCATCCCATTTGGGCGTGCTGTCCATCGGTCGACCCTTCTGCCCTTCGGGTTGGGGTCGGTCAGCTTTTCAGAGTTTGGGGTGAAGTCACAGCGACCCTCAGTCGACTCAGGGTCGACCTGAAAAACGGTGGATGGTTGCGCAGCTGACGACGAGCTGACGAGCTGCAGACCCGAAGAGCACCTCAGGAGGCTGGGCATCACCTGGTGCCGGCCGACCTCCGCCGCCACCAGAATGGCGCTGGCACCACTTTCATCTCGTTGGTTGGCATCCACCTGCTGAGCGCCAGCTGGCGGAGGATGCCAATGGGTTGCTTGCAAATCCATGACTCAACGAGCCATGGGCTTTTTTGGGGGGAATCTGCGCCTGTGGATAGCTCAGCAGCAAGCCTGCCACATCCTCCAAGATGGGAAACGGCGGCTCCCTGCAGGCATAGTGCCTGAGCGGAGCTTGGAAGCTGATCAAGGACTTAAGTCCTTGAGTCAAGTGCAGCCTCTTGTAGACCTATGAAACACCTGCAAGGTACCAGACGTTTTAACACAAACAAGCTTCCAGGTCACTCCAAAGGGGTCAGACCCTAGACTTCAGTTCCATGAGCCGATCAGGCAGGCTGCCCTGCTTCGATCATTCCATACAGCGCTCCTGACGATGTTCCAACTTTGCTCAACCCTGACTACGTACACTTTCCTGAAGAGTGAAAAGGGATTCGGAGATGGGCTGGGGTCAATTCAAAGAGGGCTCTTAGAGGGCCAGGCCAGTCTGTGAACAGCTACATCTTGGGCTCCAATCTATCTTTTCAAAGGCCCCATCCAAAAGATCCAAAAGGAATCCTTCACTCTGAGCCGCGCACCTATCATATGCAAATCTCCCATGGCCCATATCCAGGAACCCTTCCATCCCACCTATCCTAAAAACCTGCATCACCTCTCATCACCCTATTGCCTCCCTAAATCCACCCACCCAAAACACATCACGGGGTGTTTCGCCTACTTGTCTTTCTGCTTGGACAACCACGTGTCTCCCTTGTGTCTCCCATGTGTCTCCCACGTGGACCACCCGTTCGTCTCATGCAGTGCAGATCCGCGGTGCAAAGGCGTCACGCCATGCAGATCCGCCACGTTGGGATCCGCCTGCCGCTCCATCAGGAGACGAATCACCTCGCCGGCGGTACTGGTCCACGCGGACCCGCGGGGGAACCGGCGGTTGGGAAGAGTTGAACATGAGGCGACGGCTGACGGTGTCATGAGGCAAGGTGTAGAGGGGTTGAACATTGAAAAACTGTGCGGAGTCGGAAGTTGAAGTAGAGTGAATGGACTCCTTTTGATTTGGTTTGGTTGGCATGTCGCGACTGTCAAACAGGAAGCCGTTCCATAATGTTCCATTATGATCCTAGGAAGTGTTGCGACGGAAACACGGAGAAATGTTCACTGCAAGACAGGCACATGGCGTGTCTTGATCCATGCTTTGAACATGTGCAGTTTGCAACGATCCTTTCGAGTTGTTCAATCTGTTCTGTGATCTGTGATGGTTTTCAGCATGCAAAGTGAGACACCGACATCAGGCTCGTGTGCGGCCAGGCTCTCCTCCATGCGCCCTTCATGACAGGCATAGCAAAGCGGTGTCATTCCACGGTTGTCCTGTCTACAAATAGGCAAATCCCATGATAAGGGAGAATTAGCTGGTGGAAAGTCCCCAACTCTTCATACTCCAAGCTCACTTCACCCTCTCAAAGGTCGAATTGGAGGGTTCCCTGGGGCGTTCGCAACGCGACAAGGGTCACTGACCTGCTCAGGCAATGTCATGATTATGGACGTGGGATTCTACAGAGTTATCATCCAAATTGATCAAAGGCCCATGTCAAGATGCATCCCGATGACCTTCACGACACAGTCTCTGTACGGGTGTGAGTGTTTTCATGATGTAGCATGAGACACACCACAATGAGACACGAGGGCACCAACATTCGACAGCCGTGCTCCACCGCCATGTTTGACAAGGACACTTCATATCAACTTTGGCTGAGGAGATTGCATCTGCACACATCTCCTCCCACCTGAACTCCGGTCGGCGATCCAATATCGATGCAGGCGAATGCGAAAAACGTGCATTCACGGCTGTCCTGCAGGTTCACATCCTCCCGCTGAAGAGCCTGGCAAAGGTTGAAACATGTTCAAACCAACAGCCTTAAGGTTGGAAGGCTGCCAAACAAAGAGCCAAAGTCTTTGACCAACCCGGGTGCTTCTTGACCTTCTTGGCGGTCCGGGGCGCGCCCCCGGACGTCCATCAACTTCGTATGTGTCGCATGTACATCCTTGAGTGCTACTTAAAGACATGGCGGGACGAAACCTGCCAGAAAGAAAGACAAATAGATCAAGCCATTCTAGCCAACAGCCAGGATATCTTTATCTGCCTGCCTCCAAAGCATCTCACAGACCCAGGAGGAGCTGCAGCTCTCTTTTGGTGAAACGCCCGGACATGCTGATCAGCAGTCCATTTTGAATGGAGTCCCCACATTTATCCAAAAAGAAAGCAAAGATATTGTTGAAAGCCCATGGCTTTTCTATGGTTGACTTGTCTATCCAAGTCCTTGATGTGAATGTTTGTTTGGCCGACCTTTTTGTAACTGTATGGAGATGGGGCCACCCTGTTTGAAGCCAAGACTTCTAACTTTACCAGTCTCGGATCCATTCATCGCATTCATCGAGGAAATTTTTTAGTTCCTCTTCATTCTCATAAAGCTGGTCCTCTGGGAGCTCTGGATGTGGCAAAGGCTCCCGTGCTGGCTCTGTAGTAGTGCTTGCAGCGCTTGCAGTTTGCTGATTTGGCGGCGCGTTTTCCACTTGTTCACCAGCGGCTGTTCCTGACAGGCTTGTGAACACTTCACCACATTGCGTGTGTGTGTGTGTCACCCCCTGTATCTAAGGGTTCCACCTCTAACCTCTGGAACTAAGAGTTTTGAATGCAGGGGGACGGGTCACCACCGATACTACCCGTCCAACGAAGAGGGTATCGGTTGGTGCTGACGCAGTGGAGGACGCTCCACTGTGTACCTGCATCAAACGCAATGACTCCACTGGTTCCCCTTGCCGCTGTTGGTTTGTTTCCATGTTGGTTCTTCGCATGATATCCCCCAAAACAGGTTTCCTTGCACGGCTAAGTAATCAGTAACTAGTTTTCTGCAGTCACGCGTCAACCTTTGTTAAAACACCTTCAAGTACCCGGACTTTTCGCCTTTCGGTTCACTCTTTCCTTTC